CTGCAACATTAACTGAATTAGATAATTTTAGCTTAGCTTACCATCCATTATACATTAAACGCACATGCGTAAACGTATTATGCGCTTGCGCACATGCACATTCGCAGCCGTAAAGGTCTTACGCGCACGCGTAAACGCCTATATTGACGCATGCGCAGAAAGTTTGTAGCTTTGAGGTCCGGATTATAGATCATTCCAGATTATGGGTGTCTGAATTAACAACTTTTGACTGTAATTACAATTTATAATATCTAAAACAGCGGTCATTTCATATGACCACCGAGCTTTTTAGTAAATATATAAAAACATAAAATTAAACACGATGGCATCAAACATTTAACTACAAATGATGATCAGCATATTATCTTAGATTACTTTAATTTTCTGCCTTATGTGCTCATTCAATGTAGTGAAAATAATAGGGGAAAATAAGAATGAAAAAATTCCCTACAACATGCTTCATGTCCATTCACCCTATTTTGTCATTAAATCGGTCCAAATGGTGCATGCATGTTTGTTCTGAGGTCGTGCCCAGCGAGGTTAAACAATAGCAAACACACTTTTGATGATATACTTGATTATACGCATTGCATAATATTCAAAGCAAAGAAAACTTTATGCCACGTTTCAATGCTGCAAAACACTCTTGAAAATTTTTACACACCCACATTACACTCACTCAGTTGCTGACAGTATATGTGCAAGAAGACTGTTGCATCCTAATGGACCTATTAATCAGTCCTTCCTTTTTGCTTCTCTCCTTACCTTTAGCAAATACTTTAGCCATTGGGGGTTAGCTACAGAGGCTTAAAAATCCTGGTGTCTATAAGATGTAATATTTTAGTTGGGTCATCAATAGAACTTACTATAGACTTGGCTAGTTAGATAGAAAATGAAACCAGTTCACTATAAAGTCATGGTCAAAATAACTTTGCAGGTGATAGCTGTAATGGAATGGCAATGGTTTAATGTGTAGATGGAACGACAGACTAGCAGACAGATGTGGCCGAATTCAGCATAACTTTATTATTATATAAAACAGTTCTGGAGACACAATATTTGCTTCACACATGATTATGGGTGCAATAGGCACCTCTTAATTTTGTGTACTCAGTTTAAATTTTAAATAATAAAAAAAGAAGTACAGTAAAGAGAGAGACATGCCTTATTCACGCAGCAGCTGGCAAAAAAGTGTATTAAGCAGTTGAAGTTATTTATAAGCTTGATTCCTTTGTTTGAGTTCTGAATAGTGACTGGGCAAAAGTTTACCACAATCCAGAGAAATTACAGGGAAAGAGTGACATCAATGATGAAGTAATTAGGACTTTAAAGGACTATTGACAATTTGTTCAAATTAAGTTTAATTTGTTAATAAATTTCTGTCGCATTTTTATATCTTACACAAATAAAAGGACCTTATCATCAAAGGCTGTTGCCATGCATTATATTTAAAGAAATAATACAGTTAACATAAAAAAGCACATGGCAACACTTAACGCTCTATCATGATTTCTAAAGATATTCTATTTTTAAATATTTTAGGATTTTGCCACTGAATTTTATGTGGCATGAATATGAAGAAAGCAACATTTAATGATAAAGTTCATACACACGCACAGAAAAAAAAAAAAGTGACAGCAAGGAATAAGTTTAACTGTCAGCTTAGAAAGAGTACCAAAACCTTAACAAAACCTCTGAAGCAACATTAAAATCTGAATCCTATCAATTTTGCTTTTTTCCTCTGGAGACAGATGCTCAGACCTTCAAGTGCTGACAAATCGAAAATCTGCATTTGAAAATTTAGAGACAGTTATATGGGTTTTCATGAACAAGTTTCTGCAAGCATACTAGAGAAAACATTCATATTGCAAGATAATGCATCTGATCCACACCAAGTTTAACAAGTGGAATAATATTTTCAAAAGAAGATAATTATGTGCACTAACTGAACATCTCAATTTCTAAACAGAAATCAAATTCAGCATGTCAAAATTTTCTACAGAAATATGCTGTTATCTTTAAACTGTCAAATGATACCAGCAGACAGCTTACACTATACAGTCAAAAGTCTTTAATCCGGACTCGTCGGGACTTCGGTGATTCCGGATTATAGATTATCAATTTAAATTTGGTAAGATGGCATGCAGAAATTATAAAATTAAAAATATGAAAACGTAATTTATGAAATAAAGAGCAATTATGATCTAAAGGGTATCAAAATTTACAAAAAAAAAAAAAGCTTAATATTTATTTGTTTACTATATTAAACATTTCTTTCAACACGCGCATGCGTAAAGCATACATTACGCATAGTCGAAATTAGAAAATTGCAACCAGAAAACTATTTGATGTGTATTCGTGATATTTATAATGACGAGGAAATTGAATTAAATCATATCGGAGTACACCGAGACGGAACATTACATTTAGTAAGGAATTATAAGCAGAATAAAATAAAAACATCTGCCCTGAAGATGAGGATAGTGCTGACAGATCAACTTCCAGTTCATTGCGTGCCGCGATGTCCCCCCTCCCGCAAAACAGCGTGAAATTGATAAACAGATTTCGGAATGATTAGAGAAACAAATCACCTCTCTGTCACTTTCTTCATGTCTTTATCCATTTTTTGCAGCAATTATACTTTTTGTTTAATGGACATCGAAACATGCTTTCGCTTTGTAGATCCTTTGGCAGCTCCAGAATCGGAAATTCTTTTTGACATAATCGAAAGTTCAAGCTTAATTTTATAAAATTGCTCTAACAGTCTGAAAAAAATAATACGCTGGATCCAATTAGAAGATTAAGGAACAACGCAATCTGCAACATTAACTGAAATAGATAATTTTAGCTTAGCTTATACCGTCCATTATACATTAAACGCGCATGCGTAAAAGCATTATGCGTTCACTCATGCGCAGAATGTAGCTTTGAGATCTGGATTACAGATCATTCCGGATTATATACATCCGTATTAAAGACTTTTGACTGTATTACTCTAGGTAACACTATTTATATTGCATTATTATTGATCCAATATTACTCTATGAGGAAATTATTTGTACTACTCATAATGTATTATACTGAAGTATTAATTTGTCTAACTATGCATATTTATATAGCTATATATTTAAGCAAATATTTCAGTTAATTTTCCGACACCTCTTCCTAAAAGAAAACTGCTTATGTAAAATTTTTAATCTCACTTTAAAATTCAAAACATAACTTATATTTTTTCTGCATTCCATGCTACCTATATTTTATCAAAATCCTTCATTTAGATTTCTTTGGTTACTATGGCATTTTTCGTATTTTATTAATTCAGAAAAAACAGTACATTTACTAAAAATAATTTTCAAAAAATAAAATTTGTGAAGTTTTTTTAATTACACAGAAAATAAATAGCTTTTTACATTCAACTATTAATTATGTTTAAGGAAACCCATAACAAACAATCACTAGCAAACGAAAATTAATAAGTGATCACCGAAATTCTAAATATTCATCCTTTCATCTAACAATGCAGAAAATATTACCATGAAGTGAAAAAACATTTTAATTAACATGTTGTTAAAGAATGTATGCATAACTGTAATAAAAAAATTATATGTAATATAGGTACTGTTCAGTTATCAGGACAGGAGTCATTGCCAAATGTTTTGCTAAACTTGCCAAGATTGGTTCATATGAAGTCGCCAATGTTTACGCAGAAAGTCAGTACAATGTTAACTTTTTCAAGAAAAAGTAAAAGAATGTCTTTTCAAAATTGGCAACGAGAATACAAATTCCAAAGATGTATTAACATGGACTTGAAAATTTGGACTTGCCTGATGATGAAACACCTTTCATATAATTTCTTCAGGAATGAGGAATTATTCAGTTTGAAAAAAAGTACACAATAAACCATAAAGTGATTTTTTTTCTGATTTCTTTACAAAGTTGTTTAGATTACATTAAATATTGCTAATTTTACGAATATCTGTTGTTATTTTTTCACTTGGATTTTTCTTCAACTCCGTATCATAAACATGTACACGATTATTTTTATGCTTCAAAATTTTCACCACATCGGTCTGCTTTTGGCGATATCTGAATCCGGTCTCAATAACAGAACAGTGCCGTAATACTTCAAAGATAACTTGGTACTATTCGGTTTTGAGGGCCGTAAAAAATCGTCAAACTATTGTTGATGCCAGTGCTGCCAACGCAAGAAAGGAAGTATAATAGTAAATAACTATCTAAGATTGATGTTTTAATTTAGATGAAAGGTTAATTTCATATAATACTTTTTTATTATTATAATTTATATAAAAAAGGCTAAACATGACTGAATGGAAGCATAAGAGTAAATAAATTATTATAATTTATATAAAAATTGCTAAACATAACTGAATGGATGCCTGCATCTCTATTTCGCTATTGAGTTATCGCTAAAGCATAGTTTGATCTCGTTGGTTGTTCAAACGTAATTTTCTATAATGAATGATGCCTTTTCTTTGAAAAAATTCTTGGAAAAGTGCAGAATCGCCCACTTAGTTGTTTGCCGCTTTTTACAAGGGTAAAAACAATTGAACTTTTGTCAGTTTTCTTTTACTTTTTTAAGTGAAAATAGGTCGATGTGTATGTGGATACAGAGTATGTGCAATTCTTAAAAACGTGCCAAGCAGTGGGTGATTCTGAACTTCACCCAAAATTCTATTGCACACTTTTCGACATGGGCAATTCCCAAACTGTTAAATCCATAGGATATCAAAAAAGGATTTAAAAATTAAACTAGTATTTCAGTGGCGTCTTAAAAATATAGAACTATATAAACTTATGCAATCTGAAATCCGCACGTATGCTAGATTTGGCGCGCTGTTCAATGGGCGCGTTTGCTAGATTTGGGGCTTTTGCACATACATTTTCGCTGCAATTTTTACGGTCCTCAAAACAGAATAGTACCGATAACTTTAAAAGTATATGTGCAAATATTTTAAAATGATATTCCAGAAAATACTCACTCTAAAGGTTCCACCAAAACCTCCCAAGAATAAGCCCAAGTTCAAAGTTCGTTTTTCTGTCAATAAACGAAATATTAATGATGGATTTGCCATCAACTTTTTTCCCAATGATGCACAGCGAATGGCTGAGAAAGCAATATAGCCTATTATAAAAGGACGTAAAAATCCCTGTAATAATAAAAAAAAAAATTGCCAATATGCATTTGCAAATAAATTCTTTGTAAAAGCAGAAACTATAAAAACATTTTAATGTCTTTTATTAACTTAACTTAAATATAATTTAAAATATTTTTCAAAATTACTTTAAATATCCATTAATATGAAAATAAATAAATTTATAAAAAAAACATAAAACTGGACATAATCTTGGCAAGTAATGATTATAATGCATATCATTAAATTATAATTAAAAGGCCACAGTTTTAAAAGTACACAAACTATTAAAAATTATTTAACTTACATATAAAACATACTGCATGCAACTCATATTATGCCTACATGAAGTATGCTTAGTATGAAACCATAGCTTTTGCAAAAAATGAGTTGCTTCTGCATCTGAAATTTTTTTAGTTTTACTCTCTAAAGCTTCCAATGGCAATAAAATTTTAGGAACTGGAATTCTGATTAAATCACTGGATTCTGAATCCTCTTCAACTTTTTTTGGGCGAGGTTTTGCTTCTTCTTTCCCGAATACATATCTGAAGGATTAAAAAATTCAATGAATTTACACAGAAAAATATATATATATATATATATAATGTTCCAGTATTTAAGTGTGATCCTATCAACCATGAAACTATTGCTAAGCAGGTGCTTTAGTACCAATTACAGATAAACGTGATTTACAACATGAAGTGACCAACACACTCATAGCATCCTCCTTTTTTCTGATGCAATTTTTTATGTGATTTTTTTTTGACTGATTATCAATAAACCACACTTTGTTTTTACAAACAAGGATATAAATTAACTCTTATTGCAGCATTCTTTTCTTGCATTTTTATAAAAATGATTAAAATTTTGGGAGCTGACTTCTACAAAACAGTAAGCAATGGATTATTTTTCAAAGTTATAGGATATTACCAGCAAAAATAGTGTGTATTGTTACGGATTTGGTATTTAATTAGTTAATGTTAGTAGAATTATAAATAAAATTGCTTTATTCCCCATGCAGTGCAGCACGTGATGAACATTAAAATAAAGAAAAGCCGGAAAATTAACAATACAAGAGCGCGTGCATTTAACATTTAATAAATAAATAACTCTTTTTGATTGAGAAAATATCAGAAAATTCTCGCACATTTAATAAGCGCCATGAAAACCCTCTCAATACATTATTATTTAGTTAGTTGTTGTTTTAAGAGTTTATTTAGAAAACTGCTCCTGTTGACTGTAGCGAATTCGCAGATTAGCTTTCTTTAGCTGTTTTGAATTAAGTTCTCTTGAACGTTTGAGTAGTTAAAAGATAACTGTGAGATATTGTAATACTGCACGAATATCTGAGGAAATTTAAGCAATTTTGTTGTGATATTAACAAATTTTGTTCATTTTTCATCGGACTTGTGCATTCAATTCCTAACGAACCGGTACGCACGCAACAATTTTTGGTGTCAGAAGTGGGATTTGAACGCCAATTACTAGAGCGATGGAAGAACAATTGAGGCAGCTCATCAGTGCTTTTGCTGCATCGCAAGAAAAGATGGAAGCTGGTCAAGCATCATTTAAAGAAGAGATGAAGGATTCTGTTAAAAAGGAGATGAAATCAGTTAAAGAAAAGATGGATGCTGGTCGGGAAAAGATTGAAGCAGGACAAGAAGAGATGAAAAGAGAAACTGCCTGCATAATAGAAAATAAATTTGAGGCTATTGAAGGCAGAATAGATCCAGTTGAAAATAAAGTTGGACAAAATAAAGAGAGAGTTTCTTCTGTCAAGGAAAACAGAAGAGACAATTTCTGCCCTAGAACAATAAATCGAAAATAGAGTTTCTTCTGTGAAAGAGCAGATAGAAGAGAGAGTTTCTGCCATCAAAGAACAAATTAATGAAAGGGTTTTTGCTGCTGTTGCCAAAGAAGTTGACACTTTAAAGAAGCACATAGTGACAGAATGAAGCAATTCTGAGGGCTTTAAATTTTTATCCATACTTGCTCGTCCCTCTCTGAAGCTATCCACTTATGATGGGAAGACCTCCCAACAAATGTATAAGCCACAATTTTCTATCGTGGCAGATGCGAATGGATGGGATTCCCAAGCTAAGGCCTGTCATCTCGCCGCTTCTTTGAGAGCAGAGGCAGCAGATATACTTCAGACTCTTTCCCAAAACTAAAGGGTAGATTTCAAAGCTCTGTCCGGTGCATTAAAGCTGCGGTTTGGAGAGAAATGTTTGAAAGACTACAGTAGGCTTCAGTTAAAATCCCACCAACAGAAAGCCACAAAAACACTCCAGGAACTCACCACAGATGTTGCAAGGTTGTCCCATCTCGCCTTTTCGGAGTGCCCAACAGAGAAATACTGTTGAAGAACAAAAGAAATACTGTCGCTGCAATATTTTATCGATGGCCTCAGGGACCCTGAAATACGGAAAGCCCTGCGAATGGCAGATGTTAAAGATTTGAAAAGCGCTCTAGTGTACGCCATGAAATTCGAGGCAGCTCAGCAAGCCACTCCTAGAGAGTGCCACCCAGTCAGAGCTGCTCAAGTCCAGAAGCCAGGAGATCGAGTCACTGCTCGTCTAGACGATTTAACTAGACAATTGAATGCCTTGAGATGGAATGTTGGTGACAAAAAACCGACCATAAAATCCTGGAACTGCGGTGCTTAAGGGCACATATGACGAAACTGCAGGGCACAGATGTTAAGACTGCTCCTAGCAAGCAGCAGGGAAACTAATTAGTGGCCATCTCGTGGGGCAGAGGTTGCCAGATAATGAAAAGCTCCAGTTTAAAGCCCTTCAGATTTCTACAGTGAGAGGCAGCAGAAATGGACTTTTCATAATAGGACATATTAATGGAGTCTAATGCAATATGATGATAGATAAAGGAGCCAACGTTACCATCATCCAAACGGATTTGGCTCAACAACTGGGAAGCAAACTTATCTGGACGACGCCCTGTGTTACCCTCCAGACTGTGTCCGGTGAGCAAATCGACATCAATGGGAAAATAAATGTTAACATCACGTTTAGAAGTGCCGCTTACTATCACACAGCATATGTGGCAGATATTACAGATCCTTGCATACTCGGATTAGATTTTCTAAGAAAATACAATTTTTCCTTGGACTTTAAAAATAACCAATTGCATTCTGCTTCTGAGGACATAGCATTATTTGGAATTAATGATGAAGTTAAATCTGTTAATAAAATCATAGCACAAGACAATATTACAATACGGACAAGAACAGAAATCTTACTTCCTGGATCCATAGCAGAAAACAGAAATTTTCGCTACAGCATCATAGAATATTCCAAGAACTGTAATAGCCCGAAAGGAGTACTAGTAGCCTCAGCACTCGTCAACCTGTCGAAGATCGTTATCCCGGTGAGAGTTGCCAATGTAACTTAGAAAACGAGAGTTATTAAGAAAAGTGAAGTGGTTGCAACATGTACTCCAGTGACCAGTATTAAACAAAAAAGTAACACTCCAGAATCCGTGTCTTTAGAAAGCATTACATCAGAGTTACTGCAGAATGCACAATTCAACGATGAAGAGAAGAATGCTGCTGATCGTGTCATTCAAGATGTTTTTTCCTGCTCATCTTCTGGTGTGGGTCGAACCAGTTTGACATAACTGGTTCGTCAATAACTTCCCCCAATAAAATAGCATCCAAGAAGTCTACTGATTGCTAAACATGAAGAGGTACAAACACTTTTAAAGGATATGGAAGAAGGCGATGTCATCGAGCCTTCAGCAAGTCCATGGGCATCTCCCATCGTTCTTGTCAGAAAGACGGCTCAACAAGATTTTGAGTTGACTGTCACCGGTTGAATGAGATTACGAAGAAAGACAGTTACCCTCTTTCTAGAATTGACAATATTCTGGAAGCAAGTGGTTTTCAGCACTTGATCTAAAGGATGGGTATTGGCAGGTAGAAATACATCCTGATAATTGAGAAAAGACTGCATTTACTATGGGACAAGAACTTTGGCAGTTCAAGGTGATGCCGTTCGGACCCTGCAATGCACCGGCTACATTTGAAGCGCCTAATGGAGACTGTTTTGAAAGGTCTTTCCTACGACACCTGTGTGATATACCTGAATGATATCATCATCGTCGGAAAGACTTTTGAAGAACATCTAGAAAATCTTAGAAAGGTGCTTCAAAAACTGAAGGAAGCCAATCTAAAGCTGAGTCGTGCTAAATGCAAATTATTTACACAGGAAGTGACTTACCTGCAACATGTCAACTCTGCAGAAGGTGTGCGCATGGATCCTGAAAAGGTGTCAGCCGTTAAATCATGGAGACGCCCCGAAAATGTCCATCAGCTGAGAAGCTTCCTAGGGCTTTGCACCTACCATAGGAGATTCGTGAAGGACTTTTCTTCCATTGCAAGACCCCTTCACAAGCTGACAGAGAGTAAGCAAAAGTTCTTGTGGACAGAAGAATGCGACGATGCATTTGAGAATTTAAAGAACGTGTAGCGGCTTACTGGAGCAAGTGCCTGTTTAAATCGGAGAGGAATCACTGTGCCACCGGGAAAGAGTTGCTTGCCATAGTCAAACCCGTAGAACATTTCCCTCATTACCTATATGGCAGAAAATTCCTGCTTCGCACTGATTGGCCTGGCTTTTAAATTTCAAGAATCCTGAGAGTCAAATATCCAGGTGGATACAGAGACTCCAGAAATATTTTGCACTATCCATCATCGTAAGGGACCATCACACGGAAATGCCGACACCCTGTCTAAAACACCTTGCCCAGAAAGCTGCTAATATTGTTCCAGTGTGTTCCATTGTCAAAGTGAAATACGAGCTGCTGATTCCGGTCGCAAAACAAATTACATCAACATCGGCTGATTGAGATCCATGGAGTGTCAAAGAAGTCAGCAAAGACCAGCTGGGAGACATCGATATAAAACCCATTATTAATTTAATGGAGTCCTCAAGCAGAAAACTTACATGGCAGGACATTTTGATCTATAGCCTGACGACAAAACAATACGGGGCTCTTTGGGATTCACTTCATATTCGAAACAGCGAATACAGGAAATTTGAATCGGATGATGGGAAGACTTTCCGATGCCAACTGATACTTCCAAGATCCCGGATTCCTGATGTCCTTAAAGAACTACATAGCAGCCCTACAGGAGGACACTTTGGAATAATGAAGATCTTGCAAAGAGTTTGTGAGCGCTTTTATTGAAATAATGCAAAAGATGACACGCAAAAGTGGTGCCGATCTTGCAATGCCTGTGGAGGTCGGAAAGGCCCGAAGAGACGCAGCCGAGGGAAGCTGCAACGTTACAATGTAAGGGCGCCTTTTGAACGTATCGCCTTTGACATCTTGAGACCTCTGCCACGAACTGCTGATGGCAACAAATACATACTCGTTGTTATTGACTACTTCACCAAGTGGCCTGAAGTGTATCCTATTCCTGACTAAAAGGCTGTCACAATAGCTGAGGTAATGATACAGCACTGGATTTCCAGGTTCGGAGTGTCTCTTCAGTTACATTCCGATCAGGGAAGGAATTTTACCTCAG